GCAGCTCCGATCGCGTCCCCTGGTCCCTGGAGACATGTCCGCTGGGTTCCGGGTATTCAGTGGTTGGGTTTGGAGCCGTGCGATACACATACGCAGTGATCGGCGCTCAAACGTTACACAATCTGTCAGTCCAAATACCATCGGGCGAAGGGCCCAGCCACGGTTAGGAAATGGGTCAGATTGAGTTTCAAAGTCCAAGATCCCGTCCATAACTAGTGATCAGCGTATGCACACTCGGAGCGCTGCCACAGGCGTTTAGGTTTGTTTTTCGTCGTACGTAGACGTGAGACTCCCACAGTCACCGCGGGTGCAGTGCAAAGGCTCCGGCCGGTCGGTCCCTTGCCCCACCCCGCCGGGCCCCGCGTCCCAGTCACACAGTTTTGTCGGGCCAGTCAGCTGACTGCGGCTGTGCGGCGGCCGCGGCAGCGCCGGCCCGTCAAGTAGTGTGGGCCCCGCACCCGAGACCACGTCCGTGGGAACTCAGAAACGAGCGAGCTGAGACTGCCCGAAAAAAATGTTCAGAATACCTATATCACCGGGTGTGGGGCAGTAGCGCAACAAACAAAATACTCCCAACCACTGGTAAACACCTTCAAAACAACTACTATGTGTTCACCACTACATATAACGGCAGTGGGTGACCCACATCATATCCGAATTCTCACAATATAACCACGGCTCTGGTATAAGCCGGACCGAGTTCACAACGTAAGTTGCCGAGCAAGAATATTAACAATATCCCCTGATGACACCATCACACGTGAGTGAATGCTCATAGAGCGTCAATGGAGGGACCGCAGATGGGTGACAATTTCCGCCGACGATCTGCGCCTGAAATCAACTGCAGAAGCCGCACTTAGCTCCATAAATATACACCCGGCGCGGCCGGGCTCAGAGACATTCTGTCCAAGTGAGGTCAGCGCAAAGTACCGACCGCGGTCAGCAGATACGGCTCTCTGATGTCGATAACGAGAGTTGATATATTGACAGTGATTAGCGCTAGAGACGTGAGAGTACCGGCAACAGGCAACCACCGTTACTCGATAATCGTCAACAGTTTGTTGGTTTTTGCGCTCAGTGTTGGGCGGATTTTTCTGAATCAATGACACACGCGACAGAAGATCATACCATTGCTTGATTGAGGGAAATTGAGGGAGGGGTTCTCGTCAGACCACGCCAAGGGGAGAGGCTCCAACTTAGTCTGAGCGCCAGCTACCACTGGGCCCAAGCCCTCAGTCGGAGGGAAGGGAGGGGGAGGGGTGTCAGTCAGCGGAGGACCAGCGCTGCACGGGCAGATCGGCACGCACCAACCGGACCGCAAGACGAGCGGGTCCGCTGCGGGGCCCGGTACGGGTGACTGGAGCCAGTGGGTGCCATGAAGGATCTGTGCAGGCACTGAGAATGTTTGGGTGTTGCAAGATACTTAAGTCACTAACTAGATTTAGGATACATAAGTGCTTCGGGGGATGACGACCGATTAAAAACGGTCGGAAAAACGGATTGCTCATCGTATCCGTTCAATGTTTACCGCTCCTCACCAAACATGAGAACCATGGCAGATCAGCTTCCAAAACATTCGCAACCATTCGCATGTCCTTCCATCACTATCACTGTAGTCAGGCCCCTACCACCGAACACGTAACCAGTAACCACACCCCATCACAGCCTCTGTAACCCTGCCCCCCCCCCCCCGTGCCCGGGCGCGGCGGCGACGGTCTCGGTACTCACAGGTCAAAGTGTTTGTTCCACTTGGGACTGAGCGTAGCGTGGCACGTCTCCGTGCAGTGGCACTGGCCAGAGCCGTCCACGCTGATCCGAGCGAACGGGTCCGGCAGCCCTGCGGACGGCCGGACAGATGGAGATTTAGCAGATGGAGATATAACAGATGGATATATAACAGATGGAGATACAGAGAAGATGTATAGCACTGAACAGAGATGTGACAAATGCATGGTATTTCAATTTGCAAAAAAAAAAAAACTTTTAGATACCCAGACACTTTGGTTGATTTCTGGGCGAATATATTTACTTAGACTGAGGACAGCGTCATAGGGATCCCCATTAGAGATGGCAAAATGTGGACCCGAGGACCCGGTCCACAGAACCGGTCTAGACCCATATGGGTCCAGACCGGTTCTTGGAAATTGTCTGACGGGTCCAACCGGGTCCTACCATAAACCATACATATTGCACACTACGCCTGATCGCAAAATATGAAGTGAATGGAAATAAAACATTTGCTCATGTATGTTCCTTTCCACACTGTAGCTCATAAGTATGTCCAGTGGAAAAAGGCTGTTTATATGATGCCACTTATAATGATACCTACAAATAGTTTGCATTAACTGACTTTTGGGGAACGGGTCCAATTGGTTCCGATTCCAGCCTAGGCCGGGTCCGACTGGTTCCAGAAATGTCCTGCCGGGTCTGGTTCGAGTCTGGTTCCCGAAATTTTCAACTTTTGCCACCTCTAATCCCCATTAGAAATGGGATCCCATTAACTTCACTTTTAATCAAACCAAGTTATAAACAAGGAACAATGGCATGAGGTTGTGGGTTAGGTAGTAGGTACTCACTGAAGAAATCCTTCCTGGCCAGGTCCTTGGCACATAATACTGAAATCATAAGCACATTGTGAGAGCAAACCCATCGACAGGGTTCTCTGGTCTTGACACTAGCTGGATTGATGGTAAAACAATATAAGCTATAGGTATGCATCAGATTCATCCAAAGAAAATTTGTTCAATACCCAAGAACATTTACTGGACGAAAATGTGGTAAATAGGGAAAAATGTCATGGGTTTTAAAATTATCAATAACCAAAATGATTGTATAAAAATAGGGAGAAACAATGGTAATCCCAACAAACAGACTTAGGACTCAACCTTCTCACACAACTGCCAGGCCCCTTCACTCCCGCCACTCACTTGTCAGCCGTATTTTGGAGGTGCCATTCCTCCGGTGACCACTATTGGGTGACATTTTTCCCATGCACCATGTATTGAGTGATGGGCATTGCACTTCCACTGCTTTTCAGCACATCTGGAAACAAAACAAGGACAGACAATATGGGTCAAGTGTCACACACACCTAGCAGCAATTAACAGAAAAGAGCATAAGAAAGTAAACTAGAACAATAATTCCACATCATAAAAATATCAACATGACAATGGAATAGCATGGCCATTGGCCACACTGATAGCTGGTTGCTAACAGGACAGGAACTTTAGTTAAGGTTTAGACTGGTCACTTTGGGTCAGATTCATGCCAGAAAAAGATCTCTCCTCCATTAAGTGTGTAATTAAGATGCAACATTGTGTCAGTTAGGCTTAGGTGCTCACATCAATTGAATCTCATTTAAAGATTGAATGCAATCACTAGTTGTCAGTTCTTAAGATGTAAAAAGTGGGCCCTAGCCCTGCATGCATCAAAATGTGAGGCTAGACTGACTGATAACATGACAACAAACTAGATGAGCTGCACCAGCTACCAGCCACGGTGACAAAACTGCACCAGTGTACACCAACCGCCCAGACTTTTTCCAATTTCCCACAAACCTGCCAAAACATTTACTTCTTAACACAAAGTTCACTTTGTGAAAGTTAACTTTGTGAACTTTGTGAAAGTTAACAATGGTTAACATTCCACACAAGACAGTCAGTAACTAGAGGTACAGGTTTATGCCATAACTGTATGTTCATATGACATAACAAGGGTTAGACATTCCACTTAAGTAAGCATCAAAGTTTAGAAACATGCACTTCTAACATTAAACTGCAATATAAGGGCCAACAAATCCTTGCATTACCCTTGTAAGCCTCCTGTGCACCATTTTTGGGGCATTTTTCTGGCACATTGTTAGGTGCCAGAAAAGCAACTGGGCATGACACCACTTTTGGGCCACACTGATCCACGATCCATGCACAATCCGCACTGCGCCCCTAACAAATCCACACTGCAACCTCAGAGTGCCCCGCAACCAAGAGATCTGGCCAACACTGTCATGCTTTACAGCCTGGAGCATGATCCCAACTGTTGCTCACAAAAGCAAATATTTGACAGCAATCAAACTTCAAGCAAATGGGTTCGAGAATCGGGTGAAATCAAAATGGGTTTATAAATGGGTGGGGATGACGTGCAGGAGTCAAAGAAACAATCATGAACACTACCAGAAGTTGGATAAAAGGATTTGGATGCTGAGGAGCTAGTCTTCTTATCTCCTCAGTTTTAAAAATTACCTAGGATTCCATAGGATGTCTCAAATCAAATTAACAAACACCTTTAGGCTCAAGTGGTGATAGGCAGCAGTTTGAAAGGGAAAGCAAGTAAAATAAAAGGTGACTGATGCCTCACTCAGTCCTAACGAGAACCAACCTTCATTCCCACAATATTACCCTCATACCTTGCTCATACGCCCTGTCCTTTCCTTTTCAAGCGAATGTGAAGTGAGTTGATAGTGAGTTGGTGAGAAACGCTGAGTGGCGCGCGTTAGACGAAAGCCTTAGTTAGGGATGATAGTTTTGCAGCCAGTTTTGAACTCGTGATGTTCACGAATCGCTTCTCAAAATAATTTCTGCGCTTTTTTACAGGTTGAAAATTCAAAAGTGATAAGAATAATAACTGGCAACAGAATGGGATTAATTAACAGTCATATTCAATTTTCGTCGAAATTAATTGGCCTTTAGATGGATAGAGATGAACCATTACACTTGTAAAATATTCTCGATTCCGATCTCACATCACTCGTGAGCTCGTGAGCTGCAAGGCCCTAAAATAGTGAGTTGAGGACTTCAACTTGTCGGCGAGTTCACGAGTTGGTTTGGGTGTTTTGCGTTGCGTGGTATTATTATTTATCAATTATTTATATTGAATTGGCAGAATTTTACGAGCGAGTTATTGACCAAATTGCTGTATCACAAAGTTCACAAATGTTGACAAAACATGTATTTCTAAAAAGTGAAATATAGGTTATATGGCATTGGAAATATAAGGGAGGGTAGGGCTATTTAGCTGCAAATTAAATATCTTAAAAAGCAATTGCTATGACATCAACATTTATGCAAGCGGAAATGCTGCACTTGTTATACTACATGTCTGCAAGCTCGTGCCTAGTGGTACGCCAAGTCACTCTTCAAGTTACCCCGAAAATACCTATTCGTCTGGTTTTCCACCATTCATGGAAAAGTGAATAACTGTATAAAAAAATAATTATTTGCATGTGCATTCCAAATAAACTAGACTAGCCTGTGAAGAAATTTGGCACAGCTCTATTGCATAATGTGGATGCTAAGTGCGGACACCCTAAACGTGTAAGCTGTAGCACATTGCCCTCTCTCCTAACCTAATATTTACTCTAGGCTTGTGCATCAAGAGCTTGTTTTTTCACTTCAACTTATCAGAGATCAAATCAAGATCCACTGTAATCACAGGTTCAAACAAACATTTTCTCTTGTGGAAATTCATTGAGATCATGATTCATGAATTGTTTTTTGTTTAGCCATAATTGATTTCAGACAAGTGCATGGATCCAAGGAATTGGATGTGGGATCTGATGCCACAAATCTTGATCTCTTGCTTGATTACCTAGCTACTTGATGCATGGATGATGGAAATTTAGGGACGCCAAGAGCCTGTAGTGTCTGCTCATGCCAAGACCAAGTTCTTGGGTGACAGTGTTAGGATGGTTGAGGCAGGTTGAAGTGCAGATGTCTCCAGTGAGTGTTGGGACAGTTTTTGAACACATTGTGGGTGTTGTTACCTATGACAGATGGAAGTAGGCTGTTCCAGTTGTTGATGACTGACTGAGAAAGGTGACAGCATGGGCCGCTTCACAAGATTTCAGGAGTGCCCTCTTGGGCTCTGGTCATAGTCCTGTTAATAACTCCCCATATCCCATCCAAAAAGTTCACAGGCCCAGTTTGAAGTTTGTCTAAAGATCTGTTGCGACCATAGATCCACACTCTTTATGGGCGATCGAATGAGATTGCACATACTGAACACAGCTACCTATGCATGTGTCTGCCCTGTTGAAATGTGATCTTTGTTTTGTTGCAAGTTTACATAGGATTTCAGTGGTTCTGCCCAGGCCCCAGCTTTGAAGGGATGACAGCTTAGGTAGATACCAACACTTCACAAAATATGTACCTATATATGTTGTTGGTATGGAGAGACTGAAGCACATGATGTATTTTTGAGTACCTACCCATGTATTAGCAAAAGTACCTAGCAGGCTGAGTGATTTCCACTCTAACATTCATCACTTTCTCCTACACCCCATCATTGCAGGTCCGAGGGCTGTTAGCATCTGGCTGTGATGTCCGACTCTGCTGAACCCGAGGATGGTGGCGGTGGTGACCCTCCGGCCGCCGGACCCGAGGACGCCCCCGACCCAGCAGCGCCCGGGGCGGACACAGAGGCTGGGCCGGATACCGAGAGCACTACCAGCCGGGCGGACACGGAGACGGGTACGGACACCGGGAGCACCGCTGCGCCGGCGGACACCGTGTCCGGAGCCGGAGCGGACACTGGAACCGGAACCGGAGCGGACACCGGAACCGGAGCAGATACAGAGACGGACACGGATACCAAGAGTGATGCGCCGTCGGAAACGAAAGCTAAAGACAGAGGTGAGGGGAGATCTAGCCTAGAAGCATGTTTTAACACCATAGAACACATGCCACTGGTGTGTGATTCTAAGCTTGGCTGGTTGGTATGAATCAAATTTGTTTTTTATACTTTTTTCCATGTTTTCTTTTTTTGGTATTTATGAATAGCTGAGGACTCCACTGTTTCATTGGAAAGTGACACTGTAATTTGATCTGGTAATTTTTCTGGAATGAAGGGTCAGGCTCAAAAGGTTGAACCTTTTGGCTGGTTGAGTTATTTTCGTGAGCAGTCTACCAATTGCCAATCCTCATCGTTGTCATTTGATTGCTTTTCCTCCTCTTCCGTGAGGGATGCAAGTAATAAATACCTGTGTCTTACCATCGATATGATTCTGCTCAATCCCTGATAATGAGTGTACTGATCAGGTGCCGACAGTGATGAATCTGTTCAGTCTCCAATTAACAAGTTGTCTGATCACTGCCATCCAATGTATTTTCCTGAGTGGTCTATTACATAGATCTCATAAATGATCTAGGTACTCATTCTCCGATAGCCAGTCTGCCCGGTCTTTCATGATAAGTAAGTAGTAACCATTGCTTCCCCAACAGGGCGATAAGCGAGTTTTCACCGTTCTGTTGAAGCGTCCTTCCGGTATTCTGCGATTGGTCTGCCTGGCCTCCGGTGACTGTCTGATCTGCCTTCCTCAGTGAACCTGCTGCTGAAGGCGGCCGGGGACGCTCCGATCATGCGGCAGCGGCTGTGGAAGGTCGATCCGGCACAGAAGGTCACCTGGGTCATCCAGTTCATCAAACGCTACATCCGCATGGAGCCCGAGGAGTCACTGGTGAGGCTGGGAGACGGGTATAGGGGAGTCGCTGCCGCTGGGTAGATGGGGGATGGCGGGGGAGGTGGGGCGTGGTCAGAGGAGCCTCCGCCCTCCGGTGGGGTAGGAGGAGACGGGAGTGTGCGATGTAGAGACAGGAGATGTGGAAGAGTCAGTAGGGATGTGGGGAGAGTCACCGATGACACTCTGATGTGTTTAGGGGTGGTAAAGCGTCGCTGGGGGTGATTGGGGGTCCCTGCTGGGACTGTCCATTTAGTCCGAGTGGAGAATATGTAAAGGTGTCGTTAGAGAAGCGAGGAAGACTGTAGGAGAATTTCCGAGGGGATCTGAGATTTACTGGCAAACATGAGGGTGTGAGGAAGTTCCTGGCGAGACTGGAAGGGAGTAGCTAGGAAGACTAGGAGTCGCTATTAAGCATTGTGTAGGAGGTGAGGGCGAGACAAAAAGAGTCGCTATGGGTATTTGTCGAACTGGGGAGTCGCTGAGGATGCGGAGTCGTGATGGAAAGCTGCGGAAGTCGAAGAGGAGGAGACAGGGGTCCCTGGTGAAACTGTGAGAGGAGAGGTGAGGGGCCGCTGGATAACCAGAGAATCGCTGGTGAGGTGTTGAAGTTCCTGCTGTTGAACGGTGGAAATAAGCCCGTCTCAGCACTACTTACTTATAGGGGACTTAAAAGGAATGTGCATGCCTAGGAGATGAAAGGTGTTTTAGAATCAATTTTGAATGTGAGTTTGTCTTTTTTTATATCGTTATTACTAGTTTACTTATGCTACTAAAATTATCGCCCCACTCATGGGTGTTGATGAGAAAAGAGTTTTTCATTGAATTTTTCATATATGGAGTCATTGTTTTCACGGCCTCGCGCCCAGCTATTGTCTGGCACATCACAGATGAGAAGGTTTGTTTTCACTGCTGCCTCCACAGGCGAGTGTTTCGATCGTCGGCAGTACCGTCCTCTCTCGTAGCGCCGCCCAAGCAGCTCCTCCTGACTGTGCCGGCGGCCTCTGACACTAACCGCTCCCCTCTCTGACTCCACGTCCTGCACCCCGGCAGTTTGTGTACGTCAGCCAGGCGTTCTCACCCGCCCCTGACACTAACCGGTCCCCTCCCTGTCTCCACCTGCACCCCCGGCAGTTTGTGTACGTCAGCCAGGCGTTCTCACCCGCCCCTGACACTAACCGGTCCCCTCCCTGTCTCCACCTGCACCCCCGGCAGTTTGTGTACGTCAGCCAGGCGTTCTCACCCGCGCCGGACCAGACCATCGGTAACCTGCTCGAGTGTTTTGGATCAGAGGGAAAACTGGTGATGCACTACTGCAAGACACAGGCCTGGGGCTGAGGCGGCCCGGCCTGTGTCGTAAGACGCGGGCCTGGGGCTGTCGTAAGACGCGGGCCTGGGGCCGATTCGGTTCGAACTGTGCCGTAAATGCAGTTGTGGGACTGCGAGCTACTGCTGACCCAGCTGTGACGCGAAGTCACGCGGCAGAATGGTGGGTGACACTCCCAAGTGATGATGGAGACATCAGAAACTGTGATCTGAGACAGGAGGCGGATAGTGGATTATACGGTGATCTAGCGGGTGGCCCAGAAAAAAACGTTCCGAACTTATGAGGCCTATATATCAAATACGAGAACAAATAACGAGCCAAAATTTTCATCAAGTTTGCGTCATTTCTTTGCGCATTGGTATGCCAAATTATAACACTATACCATCATTTTCAAGCTGGCAATCTTGAGTTGAATTAAGCAAGACGTTTTTGCTTTTTTTGCCGATGTCAAACGATAGTGATGATTGGGTTAGACGTCCCGACCCATGTTATCAAAAAGAATAAAAAATAGAGCACGTGAATGAAACCAACACCTATGTTTTTATTTTAAATATTTTTGTCTCACTTATGTGCCAAATATTCAAATACTGAGCCAAAATGGTGCTCATGGATGTCATTCGTTTCAACACCAAATCATGTTTCGAGCAGGAGTGGCACGGTGCATGGATTACTGCTGATTACGGAGCGAGCGAAGCGAGCGGAGTCTTACGTAGAATAATGGAAATTTCTGAGTATGAGCGGCCGGCCGTGGTCACGATTCTGCGACGCTTATATCTCAGCAACCACTTGACCGATTTACATGCGGTAATTTTTGTAGGGTAGCTTCATTCCTTCTACCAAGTATTGGACTATTCCCGATGCATGTGGGTGACCCCTTATGCACGTGCCACGTGCAAAACGAAGAGGTGTCACTTTTGTAATTGTTGCAATATCTCGGTAACTACTTGGTCGATTGCGCTGAAAGTTGGCATGCAGGTAGGCACCCACTAGGCAATGCATATCCATGTGCCAGAGTTGGGGTGCTGCTGCACGTGCGCACGTGCAGGGGTCGATTCCAGATCTCGAGAAAGGCTGGACCGATGGCGCTCAAATTTGGTACATGGCTAGGGACCGGTTAGTAGGGTGCCGTGCAAAAGTCAGTTGGGACCCATTTTGCACGTGCGCACGTGCAGGGTGCCGCTTCCAGATCTCGAGAACGGCTGGGCCGATTGTGCTCAAATTTGGCACATCGCTAGAGACCGGTTAGTAGGGTGCCGTGCACAACTCAGCTGGAGGTACCCCCTCGAAATTTCGCACGTGCAAGGCTCACCCTCTCGCTCGCTCCGTTAGTCGCCCCAAAAGGCGTTATACTGGTTACCTTCCTTTCAGTAGATCAAACAGTAAATCGACCGGATAAGGAAAACAAACTAAAGCAGACTGGTTCCTGTGCCAGAAGACCACAGAATAGCTTATGAAAAACAACATTGCCAGCAGATGACAAAAAAAAAAACTGGTTGAAAAGCTACCTTTTCCCAGGAATGTCAGCCAGGAAAGCATTTGAGCCACAAGATGGTTAGAAAACTGGAAACTTCTTCCGATGCCGCTGTCACAGAGTCATCTTGGTTGCCTGAGGGAATGTGTCATCCTGAGACCCGAACCATCAATGAGACTAGCTGCCAGTAGAAGTCATGGCTCTAGGCCGCGGTGCCGCGGGGTGAAAGTGACCCGTTCACTCACATTTTTTTTAGTAAACATCGGAGCAAAAAAGTAATTTTTACATGGCATGCTTGAAGCACGAACCGTTTAAAAAGTGATTTACCGAACACCATGAAAATCACACCATTTACTGAAAATGTGTGCCGCATTGACTATTCGAAGTTTCAATGTTGTATCTTTATCACTTTCTGAGACAATATTGATTTAAAGTTGGGAACGTTTTTTCTGGGCCACCCGGTATATACTCTGGATTATACAGTCAGAGAGACGAGACATGGAGCACGGGGTGTGCGTCTCCAGCCTTGTGCGCAATGGACGCTGGGTCGCGGCAGTAGTCAGATCCGAGTGTGGTCCGTTGGATCGCAGCTGCCAACTAGACTGCCTCTGGGCAGTGTGCGCTGCTTCTATGCGTCCCCTGTCGCACGGAGAAGCATGAAATGCAGACGGGATGCAGTTACTGTCCAGTCTTGATCTAAGACACTCCCACGAGTACACGGAGCGGGCCTGGGGCCGCTCCGTGTACTCGTATCTACAGTTGGTGAGATGGTATTCCGGATAGTGGGCGCTGAGAGAGGTGAGGGAGCTCAGCTCAGTGTGGTCCGTGAGTGGGTGAGAGTGACGGACACACGCTCACGATGCCTTTTTTGTTAATAGTGCGTTCAGTGTTTATGTCGCCACGGGATAATCACTTGTACCATGAAGGTGTGTTTATTAGGAGAAAATGTCGTGCAACTTTGATCTTATTCCGGCAGTGATGTGCATTTGTGCATGTCATGTCAATCGTTGATCAGCACGGTAAATGCCTAAAAAATGCCCATTAGTTGAATGCAATGCGTGATTGTCTCCTTCCCTTTCGGCAATTTTCAAAAACAGTTATATTCAAGTCGAATCCGCATTGTTTCATATTGCAATTTTAAGAATAGTAAATGTCTTTTCTTTAGTGATTTAGTTTCATGCCGGCGGGTTTACAGATGGTTAGTCATTTTGTGATATGGCCGGTGATTAGTGATTGCGTTCTTCACCGGCTGTCCGGGTCTGCCGATTGTAGTTTTATTTATGCCGATATATGTGCTGGTCAGCTCCTATGGTGCGACTCGCAGTACGCCATATAGGTCAGTGTTTCCCATAGCTAATGGATTAGCAGGGGAATCAGAGTGCCCGTCAGTATATCAGTTTGTGTGGGTGATTTTAGTGTATTTTTGTCGTGCTTGGTGTTATTTCTCAGTCATTGCGCTGTAGGTACTTGCATTATAAAGCGTTGATTCAGATGTTTAAATAAATATAGAATCGTGCCTTTTCAGTCGATAGTTTCATGCAATCACTATATGTATGTATACTTTTCCACCGAAGTCGAATCGCATTCTTAGTAGATAGCAATGGAAATGGCTAGTTCAGCGTTGCAATAGGTATACGATCTCGCACGCACTTCTTGACCACTCGAAGGTGAAGAGGTGGGACGGGCGGGCGGAAGTAAATGTTTCTGCAGAGAGGCCTGTACCACCCTCATCGTGATCCGTTGTGTTGTTAGGAGCTGCCGGGTGTGCTGCCATTTGCTGAAGGGCATCCAGCAATAGTTCGATGATGGTTTGGTTTCCTGGTAGGTGTCGCCACTGCTGTAAGACGGAGAGACTGAGAGTGCGAGGCGCTGCGCATTGTGTCAAATTTCAATACCTACCTGTATTAGATCAGACAGTGACCACTGACCTCAGAGATAAATAATGTCAAAGACTCATAGATTAGGCTTTCTTCTATTATAAATTTATCTCACAACAAGTTGCAAAGCACGTCCATCGCATTTTCTTTTGCCTAACCGTGTCAGGATAATATCCGCAGAAATTATGCGACGGTTATGTCTTGACCAAAAAATGTCGCACCGCATCGGTCGATCTGTAGTGTATACTGAACACACTCAAGGTGTTTTCATCGCTCTAATGTGTCTATCAATAGTTGTGGTAAAACTGCTGGTGACCGTTAAATACCTGATTATCGGGGGTAGCATGGGAGCACACTCTGTAACTGTACACTGCTGAGCACCGCGGACGTATCGCCGTCGTACAGTCGCCGGCGGCGGGCGGTGAGTCGGGCGGCACAGCCTACCTCTCAGGGGCGCCCGCCGACCGACCGGTCAAACTGACTGACTGCGCGGACCCCACCCGGTGGAGTCGACTCCGACCGTCGCTCCTGGGTCCACACTCCCTTCTCCCCCGTCCCCTACCATCGCCCCTGCTCCTCTTTCCCCTCCCCTCTCCCCCCTCTCGCCGCCACGCCGTCCGCGCGCCGTCCCTGTCGGCCGTCGCACGTGCGTCGGTACCGTCGGCGGGTTCGTCGGCGCCGACGTCAGGGCCTCATCACCCGTCAGATCGGGCGCCACGGCCGACGATCCCCAGTAGACGCCCATACCGCCCCGTCGACGCGCGCAGTTGGCGGCAAAAATCGATAGACAGCCGCGGGCGGTCTGACATTTGGTGGCCAGATGTCAGCTCTATAAGGGCCGGGGGGGGGGGGGGGACTGGGACTCAGTATGTGGGCCGAGGTGAGGGTTACTGGGGAATGAGGGTGCTGCGAGCAGATGTGGTCGGGCTGTTTCCCAAATTATTCACAGAAAACATGAGTTGGAAATTTCTTTTAAAAAATATGTAAAAAAACGTTTGAAAAAAAACGCAAGGGTAACATAAAATCTGAAAATGAATCACCCGGTAAGTGCCCAACAGAAGATCACGTTTCGGCTCAATCGGCTAAGCCAGTCATTGAAGAAATATCAGTAGAACAGTTTTGACCCCTGGCTTCGAATTGGCGAGTGGCAGGTCTCGGAACGATCGTCACATGCGACAAAAGTATGTCTGTTTGAAGTTCTTGTTTGAAGGAATGTGACTATGTGATGCAGCAGACCGTCGCAAAGCTGAAGTCTTGCCGAGATAGAACGCTAAAGCCCAGGCTACATTAGCGGTCGGTTTTCGCGTTTTGCCGATTTCGGTGAAGGCGGCCAGTGGCGGCGGAAGCAGGGGGGCAAGGGGGGCAGCTGCACCCTAAAGCTATGGAAAGGGGCGCCTCGAAAATCTGTAGAGGAGGCAGGAAGTTAAGAGGTGCGGCAGCCATAAAGCTGAGCAGTGCGAGGCGACACCGCAACTGATAAAGGCACTTGTGACACGAAGAGTGTGACAATGACGTGGGAAAAGTATCTTTTGATATGCTGAAGAGTGGAGGGCATCCTTATCTGAAACAAAGGCAGATGCTGCCGACCCTGTCGAATATAATCTTGCCAGGCGATAAAGGCTAGGAGGGCGCAGCCACTCGAGAAGCGCGCCATGCGGAAGAGGGGCGCCTGCATGCGAAAGAGGGGCGCCTGTGTGTGGGACGAAAAAGAAACATTTATGGAGACGCCTTTGAAGGCCATAGCCTCCGAACGCCAACACGAACATATGAGGGCTTATAGCGTTGCACGCTCCATGCGACAAAAAGGGGCGCCTGATGGCCGATATGCGAGAGGAAATTAGTTTGTGTAACATTTATCGGGGGCGGTTTGCCGTTTACAACATATTAATGTTAAAGGAAGACTGCCACCTTCAAAAAGTTTTCTCAGATCGGCCTATGATTTATTCCCTGGACAAAACAAAATTTTAGAATTCACCTGACAAAGTATCATCAAGTGAATCGCGAAAAAAATTGTCGATTATCATACAATTATCAATCGGTTAATGTCTAGCGACAATGTTTACACATCACTAGACTTCAAGGTCATAAGATTATTACATTTTATTTGAAAAAGTAAGATATTTTATAATTTACTAATATATGATTTCATAAGAAATTGGCCATGTTTTTAATTTATTTTGCATTTAAGTTCGTAAAACATTTAAAAATCATGGCTCATTTGGAATGGGTCTGGCCCATGTTAAACCCCATTTCCCACACTTTTTTGGAAAAAATGAACTACTGAATATATAAGTTTAACTTTTATTTTGACACTCCAAAATTCTTCTCTGATCTCGAAACAATCAATGTTTTGACATATATTTACCAAAAGATAAGAAAATTCATGTTTCAAAGTTATCGATAAACAGTAGAGATGTCGGTTTTCTTGGACTAAAAAAATGGCATCAAACTGAACTTTGGTCTCCGATTTCTCGCAAACGGGTTCGAATTTCGGAAAACCGACTTCAGTCTGGGACATAGGTGGCTCAGCTCTAGTGAAAACCGTTTTGTGGAAAAAAGGTGGCAGTCTACCTTTAAGGGAGGTCCGAGATTGGGGCCTGTAAAATTGCACTGTCCGTATGGGCAATTACACCCCTAATGCTAGGGCGTATTTTGCGTTTTTTTTTTTTACTGGGGAGATGATTATGACCAGGAATAGCACTCTGCAAACTTCTATGGGCGCCTGTATAGGGGCGAAACTGATTTTCCAGTGCAGGGACGGCCATCGGCATTGTGGGGCGGCATTCATTCCACTGGGGCGTCTGCCAGTGTTGAAGGGCGGTATTCATTTCAATGGGGCGCCCGTTGGTGTTGATGGGCGACATGTATCACCTGGGGCGCCTATCGGAGATTGGGGCGGCATTAATTTCACTGAGGCGCCTATCGGCGTTGACGGGTGGTATTTATTCATCCGGGGCGCTTATCGGTGGTATAGGCCGGCATTCGCTTCACTGAGGTGCCTATCGGTGTTTTAAGGCGGCAGTAAATCCACTGGTGTCTGGGGCGCCTACCGGCGTCGAAAGGCGACATTCATAATTCATTTCACTGGGAGGCATATTGGTGTTGATGTATAACATTCATTCTCCTGGGGCGCCCGGCAATGAGGGGGCGGCATTTATTCCGTTCCCCTGGGATGGGCCCCTATCGGTGTGGAGGCGTCGCCGTCGTATTAGTTTGAAATGGGGGCACCTCTGGGTGGTAATAGATGCATTCATTTCGCTGGGACACCTACCAGCGTTGATTGCCTGTATTCATTCATTTCGGGCTCCTATCGGTGTTGAAAGGCGGCATTTATTTCACTGGGGCGTCACAAACCTGCTACTCCCACCATAAACCTCAGCCTATTCACTTCACGTTAGCAGGGGAAGGTGGGGTAAGACGGCCCAGCGGGGCAAGACGGACCACCAGCCCTCCCAGCTGAACCGCTGCACCTACTGCTTTATGCACTCACTACCTTTGTTTCCCTTCGTAACAATGGCCACCTTGAGCTCATGAGGCTAGGATGCATAGCTTTTGAGTTATTGAGAAAAGTCATGGGCGTCGCCACCACTACGGACATTACGGACAGTGTCCGTACAAGTTTTGGAAGGCCCGGAAACTTGTACGGAATGTCCGTACAAGTTTCGTCGACCGCAAATGCAGTCTTCGCACATGTTTGAAGCAGGTTAAAGTTTATCAGGCCCCTATTTGTGGTTAAAGTTACGATCCAAGGCCGCCCCAAAGTCAATGTCACGCAAGAGTAGGTATATAGGGTGTAACGAAGTTATTCGGACATCTATTTCTTATTTATTAGAACTCAGCCCGGCCGCGACCGCTAAAGCCGCGCTTTGCCAAGTGGTTAGGAGAGTTGTCAAGATAACGACAAGCATACGACAACAATCAATCTGCAGATTGACTTGTATTCTTGGCAAGGCATGGATAATAAGAACTAGAAGGCCCACATCATGACCCACCAGCCCAACACTATCCACCCCTTAACTTGGTTCTTCTGCCTATCAAACTGAAAAAGACAACGCAATGGACGGGAAAATAGCTAGTGCACCACCTTTGGCCTCACGCCAAGACACATCCACTGCACTGGTCGAGGGAAGACATGAGCGTTTGGTGGAGTGGACAGCTATTCGCGCTGTATTGTCCTTTGAACCGTCAAAGCGGCTTGTGTTGGCTGCCAGTAACTCATTACTCAAACGTGCCGGCCGTCACCGGCGTCAAACATCCGGCCAAGATCCAGATCTGGGACATGTTCAGCTTATGTGCGATGTTCCAGCTATGCATTGTGTCACAGAAGACCACCTTCAGTGACGAGTATTACCGAAGCAGCATCCTGGCAAACAAATAATTGGAGCCGCTCAACCGGACGGCACGGGAGGGCTCGATTTCTAAAAACGCATTGATTTTGATTCAAGCCACGCTGCCTTCGTGCAGGCTGGAGCGCTACATTTAAGTCCGTAGGAGAATCAGAAGTGACATCAGGAGAAGCTCTTATCCTTCTGGACTAACGGGCGCCGACTTGGAAATAGTTGTCATCCTGATTTCATAGAGATCTTAAGGATTTTTGTCCAGCGGGAAGTGAATAAGGGGACACCCGGCACCAGGACCGCCCAACTG